AAAGTGAAGTAAGTAGAGTGCTCCCACTTTTTGTCTGTACTACTTGATGAAGTGTTAGTGACATTTTTTCATCGCTTCGTTTCTCCCGTAGAAGATCTCCATAGTTGTTATACTGCAGTGTAACAACTTGAGCAAGGTGGAACAGTAGCTCATAGGACTATTACCACGGTCTAGGGTCAATGGCCCGTTTGTGTGCCAGCCATGCCTTCCAGTTCCAGCTCCCGAGGTTTTGGTACCAGATTGAGTGGCGATAGCAATGCTGACCTGTCGTAAGGTTTTCGTTCGCGTCTATGAATGCTGACACGTCCTCAAACTAACGTGCGTGCGAAGCTTCAGAGTCGGCGCTGATCCCTGCTGCCGCCATTCAAACGCTAAAAATTCTCCTACGAAGTGGTGGATCCTAATGTATTTAGAGACTGACTCGCAAATGTGTTATCGTCGAATTTGTACCTGTTTTTGTTTGAGAATTTACCTGTTATTTTTGCGTTTTCTCACATGCGCCTTCTGCTGACCTAATCAACATACTTATGAGATGCTCATTCACGTGTCAACGCGAATAGAAATAGAAATACAATTTCAATACATGGCGCACCCCAAGAAAGCTCATTCAGATGCTTAGCGCTCTGTCAGTTCCTGCCAAATCTTTGAAGTATTGTGGAACTGTTGCCGTCTGTGATTGGATCAGGCATTAATCAATGATTGATTTCTTTTCTCAGGTCTGGAGCTGGTGAGCGAGATGTGTCTGTCGCCTCAAATGGTGTATTCTCATTCCATGAGCCTTTGACCTCGAATGGAGATGTGATTATCACACCTCACTCTGGCACCCATCTATTTGATCCTTCAAGTTTCTCGTTGAGATTTAGGTAGGGTTACATGGCTTCATAAATGTGCTATGTCTTCATAGCGTTTTTAGTTTTTGTGTAGTTTTTCATCTTTGATCATGTTTTGGTATTTTCTAGGGGAGATTGTGCGGAAAATGTGGTGATGTTTACAGCTGTCAAGGGTATATTCATTGATGGATCGATTGTTCCGGCTGTTGCAGGCGTGAAAGTTGGTTTTTTCGTATTATTTTAATTTTTTTTATTTATTTTCCACATTCCAAGTATGTATGGTTTGGAAATATTTCTTTCTCTCCTGACAGTTTGTGTTTAATTATCATGTCAGTGCAATTTCGGGGTATGTTCTCTACAATACTTCTTTTTCTAGGTCACTGCTCAACACAGACAAGACGTAAGCGTCCACTTCCAAACGGTCTCTGATGCGAAAGGAAAGTTCAGGTACCTTTTTGAGTTTGGTTAACGTTCGGTCTGTCAGGTGCCGTACTGACCAAGGTGAGCACTGTCGAGGAAAAGATGTGCCACAGTTGTCAGACGCCGAAGGAATTCGGCCGAGGGATCTCATAACCACTAGTATGAGCACTCCGCACTTGCCCGTGATGAATACGATCTCCCATTCCCAGCTCTACACATAACTCGCCATAGGTTCTCGGCGTCATTCTCGACGTGTTGTGAAGCTGGTTTCTTGTGACAAACGTCCCGGAAAACTCAGAATGTGTGTCAAAGCGGGAGGGGGGGACACTGCCAACTTGTGATCACGAACACTCCAACATTTGCTACCTAGCCAAGCCGAGTGCAAATTTTAGAGTATTAAACGTCATAATCAGGCGCACAATCTCTACAGAACTTTTTCTACAGTTTAATTAAGTATCACTATTCAGAATTAAACAGCGGTAAAACAAAAAATTTCTAAAATGTGTTTCATATCTGAAACTCAGCTGTTTCATCCTATTATTTTTATTTGACTGTTCGTCTCTCAGAGTTGGTCCAGTCCGTCGTGCAGAAGACATGAAAATCACTGCCGAACTCGACGGCTACGCGTTCGCTGAAAAGCCAGGGCATGTCGGTCATATAATGAGCACTAAACTTAGCAAATTGACAGTAGTTGTGGTAAGTTGTCTATAGCAACTGTTTTTAAACGTAAAAGTTACACAGCTCATTTTCAGTCGGATAAGGAAACCTCCGAGCGTCTAGATGATGTGCTGTTGTCGATTGTTGGTGGAAAGGACTACCGAAGTAACAGTATGATCGACAAGACAGGGGAAATCAACTTTGTTGGATTGGTCAGTAAACTGAAGTGTTTTTATTGCACATGGTTTCCGGTGTAATTTTGTTACTTGACTGCGAATCTGTGAAAGTGCTCCTATTATGAAAAAATTCATCAAAGTTTGAAAGTTACATATAGCAACGTTGTATACACCCTTAAAGCCGTTTGAGGCACGGGTTGATTATCTTCGAGCAATTTTGCAGAGTACGAAGTCTCGAACATCAACGACACGGAACGGTGAAAGAAGGAGTCACATGACACGTGAGCCTTCGCTGGGAAGGGTGGCTTTCAGGTAAGCCAGTGGAAGGTATTTTTGGCATGCTGTCAGGCCACGAAAGCGCCACACTCTATATATTGTTGGATAAAATTCTATTAAATCGAGGCAGTTTGGGGCATTTGATTTCGTTTTCCTGTGGTGTAATGAATGAGCGAACCCTGTGCAGATACGGCGCGCTGGGAACCAGTGTGATAATATCGCCAGCAGTTTGTCGCCGGTGAGGATATACAAGGAGATGGTTTCGCGACTTAAGCGCAGAAAAGCTTATCTGTTGAAATCCTTGGCTGTCTGAGGCACGTTACTGTAATTGGTTGGTGTCTTTCTGAAATTTTGGCGTGTAGCACCACTTGCACCGAATAAATGTGATCTGGGCCACCGGTTTGTATAAACACGCAAGGTGTGTCTAATGTGCTACTCCTAATTCTCGGACAGTCATTGCGTCCACAACCGGCGATGTGGGAAGAAAAAACTCTGACTCAGAAAAAGTTTTTCCACCAATATCAATCTTTTCAATCACTTTATAGTCAATCGTTCTTGTACCTGGAACCACTCCCGTTCAAGCGATACTCATTTCTGCCTGAATATGCGTGCGGAAAAATGTAATGGCGAGGCTCGCGGGTATGTTCGGGTAATTCCGACGGTAACCTAGCTAAACTTTTTTGTTTGTTAACTGCTGTTTTTGGCCGCAGTTCGCGTTGCGAATGTTTCACAAGAATGCTGGGTTGTGAACAAAACTTTCGCCCCAGGCGGGACTAGAACCCGCACCTCTCGCTTTCCGGGCAAGTGCGCTACCAGTTACGCTACCGGGGCACCATTTCATCCCAACTCAGCTTTTCATGGTATACCATAGCTACCATGGCGTACCATAGCTTGTCAGCACTCACACGTATAACGTGTTGAGTCGGACAGCGAGAGGTGCGGGTTCTGGGGCGAAGTCTTGTTCACAATCCAGCACACTTGTGAAACTAGCTAAGACCCTTTGGAATGGGCTAATGAGGACCAGGGTTATATGGAAGGACAAAAATGTTGGCCAAATTGGCTGGTTCCACATAATATAATATTATTTCTTTTTTTCTCGACCAGAGTTAGTCCCGTCAACCGCCGGGACCTTCCTTTAATGCGCAAGCTTTCTATCCTCCGCTATGGTCCCTTCCTCCTGTGACACCAACACCTGGAAGTGACGCGTATGCAACACAATGGTGTTTCATACAGTAGAAGGGACACAATCATGATATGACGGTAGATTTTTCGCTTCCCTTCCTCATCCTCCCTTCCTCTCTCCACTGCCCTCCAGCTGCCACTGCAGCACCATGTGGAATGAACGGAAGTGTGCTAAGCAGGTGTTTATATAGCCCTAAGAGTGTTATCACAACTATCCTGCTACAAACATTGATATCTCAAATCCTGTAAGCTACCCGATTTGTTAGCGGTTTGTTTATCCCATGAGCTTCCTTCTCACTCACTTCATTTTGCGGACGGACACACATACATACATACACACACACACACACACACACAGACATACACAAACCGACACACAAAGTTAGCGCTTTATATAATAGAAGGATAGTTTTTAGCGGCTATAAGAATTCGTGTCAGATTCAACACCACCGGTTGAATATTTGAGTTCTTAATCAACTATGAGATAACATCCGGCCTTTTTGAAATAGAGATGGGAAGGTTATTGGGCTGTTCGGTTAAACACCTTCCTGATGTTCTGTCGTTTTTTTTTTTTTAATGGATGGCGAATAGACTGCTAGGAGCCACAGCTCGTAGTACCATTTATAATTATTAAAAATTTTGATAGTAACCGGGGTTTGATCGGTAAATATAGTGGTGCTGGGTTTGTAAATGTTCCAAGGTTTTCTTTTTTTTTTCAATGCTTTTCTTGAAATTGCCGTTTGTCTAGTTAGTATTGATTCAATTTGAAATAATTAAGCGTGTTCGGGCGTGTACGTGAGATGTCTGGATCGTCTGTGGTGGGAGCTGTGGTGGAAGCGCTGTCAGAACAATGCGATCAGCATCAATCGGAGGCTGTCACTGGTCAAGATGGATCCTACCGTATACGTGCTCTGAGACCCGACTGTCAGTATCGAGTGTCGATCAAAGGTTGGTGAATGTTGATTTTTCGTACACGGTTGGGCTCCATCTATGATTTTTATTACGTTTCTGAGTTTGTGTCCACTGTTGAGACCGTCTATCTCATATTACTTGCTACTGTTGAAAAAGCTAAAATGCTATTCGCGGCTGGCGTGACGCTAATTCATCTGTCAGCAACATAAAAAGGCCATTGAGAAGACAGTAGAGAGCGTGATCTGATTCTCCTACTCACTCTGTATAAACTGAACCATGTTTGAAATATTCTCCAGCAGCGGGGTTAGTCGTGCAGTGTTATCATATGTGTGATTTCAGCTGGAGCTGAAGGTTCAGCTGTTCCTCACTGCTTCCCATCACAGTTCGATGTTAGAATGACTGCTGAAGATCTGAAGGGATTGGATATGGTGGCAGCACCATACGATTCGAGCACGGATTTAGCCGTTGAGGTGAGCAGCTTCTTCATATACCTTGTAGGCAGACTGCATCCGTGTGGTGTGACGTACGCATGACGGAATAGGGGCTTTTGTCGTAACTCGCAAAGGTGTAGTTCTGTGTGAAGTTATGGTTCACAGTTACTTATTAGCCGTGTGCCGATCTTGACTTCATCTATTACATCTCTTTTTGAGAGATGGTCGAGAAAGTTGCTCAGATTACCCAGACCATATCAGATGTATCAAATGCGGTGCGAGTACCAGCATCAGCTAACAGCAAGGTTAATTTCCTTCCAAACGTAATTTAGTCTGAGTTTTCCAGTTGGAGTTCGGCTCGATGCCAGTACCGCAATCGTATCGAGTGTCAGTGCAGCGCGACGGTGAGACCATCTCACAGTCAGTGGTTCACGCTCCGGTTACGGTATTCTACTTGAATAATTTGCCACGTGATAGCAGAGAGTACTCTGTTCGTGTGGAGCCAGATCGTCAACCGCAGGCATTCCCGGCAAAGACAGGTATGAGTTCGTTCTTGACCTTTACCTACTCATATTTATTGCTGTAGAGTCTATACTCAAGAGATACTGACATTAGAAGAGCATATATTTTAGTGTTCTTCACTACCGACGCACCGTTCGAGTAGTTCGGATTCCAATTACGTCATCGAAACGTTCGGGTGAGGTGGAGATAAGTGCTGGTTCTCTCCTCGCACTGCCTTTCTTCGGACTCTTCTTCTTCAATCAGGTATCGTTGTCCGAGCTTGGAGTAGTTTTGTACTTCCATCCCAGAACTTATTAGTTTGTAAGCCCCGGCGGCCCCACCAGCAAGCGACTGGTAAAAAGCGTATTCAAAATGCGTCACTACCAGTTTTGAACGAGAGTAAAATGTCGTGCGCATCCTAGAAAAGGGCATTGAGCAATCAGAATGAATCTATATTTTTAACTCAAAATAAATAATAAATAAATATAATAATAAAGTATCTCATGGTTAGCTTTATTAGCTGTTGGTTTCTCTAAACGCTTCGTACCAGATCAGGATATATAACTGCCTTGGTCTTGCCGATGTTGTACAAAAAGAGAAATCAACAAATCAATTAAGGGCTCTAGATAACACAAGAATACTTGGCGAGTATACCTTGTGTTGCCATTTTGCGTACTTAAAGGCATTTTTGCATCATTGCGCTTTTATTTCTCAAATGCTATGAATGATCTTACTTGTAGGGGCGATCAATAGAGCTGTTCCGATCATTTGTCTCGATAGTTCGTCCTGCTAGCCCATCAGTAGAACGAAAGAAGCGAAAGTGATTTCACGGATTTGTGGTGGTCGAGTTCGTATAGGCAAGTCAGGATTGTTTGTAAAGAGTTCACTTGCTTAAATAATAACTTATTACCGTAATCATGTTGATTAGTGATTAGCTCTAAGTGATACGGATACTGTACGTTGCACGTGTTGTTCCTCGATGTTTAGGAATATGTATGTCGCCGTTGTTAATTGTTGAATTGTGAGTGCAAATAAACCTGTCAGACTAACCATCGTCGGCTATTCTAATGTACGGTAATTTTGAAAGTTGTTTACTCGATCACAGTCCTTCGTTTGCGGGTAGATGTTCGATTTTCTCGATAGCTAAAGTCACCGCGTTCTGGCATAGGGTATTATAGGAGTGGCGAAGATACCGATTCCAGTTGCTAATCTGATCCTTTACACCGCCGTCACACTCGGCGACGGACAAGCGATGGAGCTCGCTTGTCCGTCGCCGAGTGTGACGGCGGTCCTAGTATCATTCATATTGATCGAACTTTCAAATCACTCCATTTCCATGAATACGTGTGGATTAAACAAAACCCACAAAAGTGTAACCTCGCAGCATTCAAATTTTCAGGGATACATTAAAGGGCTATAGAGAACGTTCCCTGTCTTCTGGAAAATTTTAATTTCATCGATGGGAAACGGTGGCTGTAAATGGAGAGGGCGAAGTGGATGTACTCAGCTATCACCTACAGCTGACTGGAGGCAATGATTGGGACCCATGATGAACCGTCTGCCTAGCCGAGCCAGAAGGGGTCGTATTTGCTACATTCAAGGGAGGCTCGTGATTGGGGTTGACGGGAAGGTTAAACTATTTGGAAGGAGGTCGTATTCGTCGTATTGGCGGATCGTGGCTACGTTGGGGGCTGCGTTTGAGACCTCTTTGACCTTTTGAAAATGTGGCGGTGTCTGAGGGGGCTCATGGTCAGATCAAAGACCTTGGAAAGAGCATAGTGGCCGGAGTGGAAGGGGCGGATCGTATGGGGCCTGAAATATGTGGGAAGCGGGAAATATTTGAAACCAGTTCATGCCAGGGTTGATCCTGGTAATACAGTACTCGCTCATTTCACTCTCCTACATGGAAGACCGCGTCGCATCACTCAGGCGCGATCATCC